TTTTTTTCTTTTATATATATATATATATATATATATATATATATATATATATATATATGCAATTATGCATTAAAGAACTATTTAGAGTATTCATATATCATTATTTAATATAATAAAAGATTGAAAGCGAGTAGAACAAAATATAGAAATGTTTATCTTTAATGTTTATCCATACGTTCTCTTCTTCACAAATAGTTCTACGTACTAATAAGAAAAACTAATAATATTTTATCGTTATATTACAGTTATTCCGTATTAGTGTTTGCAACAAGTATAAAACTAAAAAAAATATATTATATATTTTATAGTTTAATAAGCTATTTAATTAAAGAAAGATTCAAAAAGGCTCATGACACTCCTAATAATGTATTAAATCTTGTAAATTTTCTTTTTTTTTTTAAATTTTAAAGACTTATCATTAATTTGGTGTTATTATTTATAATGATTCTTTTTAGTTGTTGAATGTGCAATACTGCCTCAAAATTTTCTTAATACTAAATTAATATGATCAAATGATAACTTTTACTATCCCCACCGATAGATATAAAGTAGATTTTCTTAACTAAGTGAAGATATAAACAGTAGATTTTCTTAACTAAGTTATTGGGTCCGAATTATGTTTTTAAATACGAAATAGATTATATTAAAAGAAAAAAAAATTATTTTATGTATTTTAAAGATCTTTAATAAAGATTAATTGTTAATTTTGATTATAAATATTTTTTTATCGATAACAAGGTAAAAAAATAACTTTTACTTATTATAATTTTTTATTATGTGTTTTTTCTATTAATTCATGACTTATATATTATTTCATATTTATAAATATGCGGGTGATTATATATGATTAATGTAATATTATTTGGTATTTTATTTTATGACGATGTTAAATTAAAAGGTTATATCATTTTTTTTTAATAAAAATTATAGAGGTGTAGTAAAGTAATGATAACATTTTAATGGTGTTAAAAATGTTTATATATATACATATATGATTTCATGACATAATACACCGTCAATCTGACCAATGCATGTACCTAAATACACTCGGTGACACAGGAGATATGGAAGTAAACAATGAAGAATCCATGACAAAGAAAGATTATTTTGAACGTACGTGAGCTCAAAAATTTTGTTTATGTAACCTGTGTACATGTAGTATGTTTTAAAAGGTGGCAACTGGCAACCTCCAACGTACGTGTGCTTCACAAGAAAAATGAACAAAAATCAGGAATCATGAAGTGTGTAGGCTACGTGTTTTCCAATGAAACAAAATTCTCAATGATGTAAATCTATCACGGTGTCAATAGACGCTTCACACATTCTATGGACACGTTGTACGCGAATCTTACCATTAAGTATGATAAATTTAATTTTAATTTATGGTGTAATAAATAAAAAAATATTTAATGGATATGTGATTCCAGGTTTAACATATTACCACATAAAATCAAAGTCTCAATACTCAATCATTCTGGTTAGTTCAAATAGTAAGCTAACTTAGATTTACTCCGTTCAATAATTCATGTTATATATCAAATTTTAACAATTTAACTGTTGAATTTAAAGCTCTTAATGGATAAATCAAGTCTGTAAATTTTTAAAAATTTAAAAATTATTTGATACTTCATTTCATTAATTCAAATTGATAAATAATCATTGAATCATTTTATACATTGATTTGAATTAATGAAATGAAATATCAAATGATTTTCAAATTCTTTTTAAAAATTTGCATATATGATCTATGCATTAAGAACTTTAAATTCAACGGTTAGATTGTTGAAATTTGATGTATACTTACTCCAAGAGTTAACGGATCCCTCCTCATATAGAAAACCCTTAAGTAATCACACCCATGATAATTTATGCACAGACATGCTAATTGGATTTTTTTTATCTCTATGAAGGTTGTAGCTTCAAATGTTAACTTCCATATGTCGTTGGAATCACTTAAAATGAGGTTTAGAACTCAAGTCATGATCAAATTACTAAGCCGAGGTCAAACTATCATATTTAGACTAAAATACTACAATTTTATAATTTTTATAAATAGTAGATAACAAAGTTAAATATTGAGTTCAACATAGAAGTTTTAAATAATTGTCTTATCTTTTTTAAATAATTAATATTAACTTGATAGCATGTATATGACAATAGATATCGTGTTTGGACCACATGAAGTCATAGAAGATTAAGTTATGAAAATACAATTTGTGAGTAGTAATAGTGATTTGTTTTTACCATTTATGTGTTTGATGTTATAGATGACTTTACCCTTTAAACGTTTAATCCTAATTGGGGTATTTCAATGGTGTGACGTAGGATCATGATTTATAATACTAATAGTGATATAAGAATGATTAAGTGATGAGTTGAGTGAGTAGGTTAAGATTTGGTCTTGAATGTTAGGACTTGCTAGACAAGTTATATGTGATGGTGATGTGATGTTCTTGTGTGTGAGATAATAATATGGTGTGTTGTGTGTGAATCTGTGTGATGGTCATGCGATGTGAAATCTAAGACTAACCTAGTAATGTAAAAGTATGGGGGAAATTGCCTAGCTGAGATATAATTATTGTGACTTGAGAATTATGAATATGATTGATATAATATGTATTAAGTCTTGTGTGATGTATCATGTCCATAATGTTCGTTATGGGTACGATATGTAATACGTAACCAAAGAAGGTCCCCCTTATATAAAAGCTTGAGGATTAATGACCTTGTGAATAATTAGGTTTGGGAGCCACAATCTTGTCGTTTGTGTGCATGAGTTGAAACTTTTGCGACATAGCTATCCTAACACGCCACTAATGTATATCTTCCTAATGTTGAGTGCTATTGATGCAATCCTTGAAGAGAATGATGGTCAATCCTTTGCAAGAACAACTTCATCCAAGCTTCATCTCTTGACTAACTCGTGATGAACTATTGGACTAAACAAACAATGGAAGAGAGAGAGGTGTTGGCATAGAAGTTAGCTCCAAGAGAGTTGAAGCAAGGCAAGTGATCAAACTCCACAAGGAAGGTTTCCTTTGTTGGAGTCTTCAAGGAGTAAATTTTCCTAAGAACTTTATTAAGACTTTTGGAAGAGATAATTATACAGAAAATATACTCTCATAAATCTCAAAAGTGAAGGAAAAAGTGTTATATAGAGGTTTGGGTTCCTAATGGCTTGCTTAAGAAGCTTGGTACCGCCATCTGAATTTGAATTCAAATTCAAATTGCTTGACTAGCTTCTCCTTATACCATACGTTCCTTGCCTTCATATGCATGTACTCACATTTGATTTAAGGTGCATTTGAGTTGAATTTGGTGCTCCATGTGGTATATGTGCACATGGCTTCCTAATTCACTTTAAATGTGCCTTAAATTAAATTGCAAGTAACATATATCTTCCCTAAACTCTTCTAAGTCCTATACTACATGGCCTTTATATATAAAGCCAAAAATACCACTACAAAAAATACTCAATTTTGCGACCAAATTTAGCGACTGATTTTTTGTTGTTGTAATAGCGAGATAATTAGTTGCAGTTTTTATTTAATGGCCGAATTAGCGATCGAATATTTTCAGCATCAATTTTTCTGTCACTAATTCTGTTGCTACTCAGTTTGTAAATTACATATCCTTTAGCGATCGAATAGCGACCGAATTGTATGTAAATTTGCGACTGAATTGGTTTCTCTGGCTAAATTAGCGATGAAAAAATTTTGGTCGCTAAAAACAATACAAAAATATTATTTATAATAATCATAGCGACCAAATAAAAATCGGTTGCTAAATGTAAAGTTTTTAAAAAATTTAAGAATATATTTAAAAAAAAAAGAATTCAAAACGAAAGTAAGCAACTAAAAATACATAAATCTTATTGGTCCAATCAAAGACAGAAAATTAATCAAATTACATCCAACATAATTCTATAACATGCTTAACACATATTGGTAACTTCATTAACTTGACTTTTGTAAGAAAATAAGATGAGAGAGTGTAGTTTTAGAGTTATGTAGTACAAGGATATAATTAGGATATTTAAGAAATATTATTAAACGGGTATCCGCGAGTATGGATATTATCATACCTGCCCCCACCCTGTTTATAAACGGGTAAAAAATTATCCGTCCTCATTATCCGCAGGTATTCAATTAGCCTATCTATTTATTATCCATAGCGAGTTTTACCTGCAAATACCTGCAGGTACAGGTATTTTTGTCATCCTTATCAATATATAGAAGTTGCACACATGGTGTTGTAGGTGAATCTAATTACCATTAAATATGATAAATTTATTTTTAATTTATGGTGTAATAAAAAAAATATTTAATGATGTGATTATAGTGATTTAACATATTACCACATAAAATCAAAATCTCAATACTCCATTATTCTGGCTAGTTCAAATATATTATGGATGGAGTTATTATAATTATATATACATGTTGTTCGAGCAACTTCCATGCATCTATGTGTTGTATTTAATTAAAAATT